ATTAATTACTTTTGTTTCACATTCTCTTCCAATGACTTCTGCTTTATTAATGTGTGCAGATTTGCACGTAGTTTATTACGTGAGACTCAGGTAAATAAAACCACAGGGTGCAAACAGCCCACAAGCTACGATAACTTATTTATCCAGCTATCAATTCTATCAAAGGTCAGTTCTGTCAAAAGAATATGCCTGTTAAAATTCACATCTCGGTATAAAGAATAACTATGATTAAGTTATTAGTATCCCAGTATGTCTTTGCTATTATGGGGGCGGGTGAAATATTGCTTGCAGACACTAGTAGGTCACTGGTTATCATAACCCCATTAAACAGTGACTTTCTGTTTTTGCACTTTGTTTTTTAAACGTTTTAAATAATTGAGATATAACTGTGCTAATTAGTCATCTTTAGAGGTGCTGTGAGGCAGATTGTGTTACCTTGGGACGGAGCCAACTGAGCTATTTCCCCGTTTCCAGTTTTTTTGCCAAGCTAAGCCAGCCGCTGGCGATAACTTCTGCACAGACATCATTAGAATCAACTTTGTTGCCTATCTACTGGCGAGAAACAAATGCTTGTATTTCCCTGTAATGAAGAACGCTTCTTCCCAATGACGAAGGTTTAAAAAACACTGTACCCGAGGACCGGCGGTAAAGCACAAGGGCATATTGTACAACAATGGTCACTGAGAGATCAGTGTGGTATTGACCTCCCTGCAAGCGGATTATGTTCATTGAAAAATCCAATAGAGAAAATGTGCAACAGTTGAAGGGCTTTTACTGCAAGTCACTAACCCCGACGGCACGGAAAAGCCCCGCATACAAATAGCATCGTTCATCAAAACGTGAGGCTCCAGGTGTGTTGGATACAATTTGGGGGACAACTGTAACTGTGGAGGATAACAAGATATTCGGTTTGCTTTATGAAAAATCAATAAACCCAGAGGTCAGAAAAACAGCAGCGTTGTTTCTTTTTTTATAGTACGGCTTCCAGAAAAAAAAGGAAGCTGTGTACTTTTCCTCGAATTTACTGCAGTTTCCAGCAGTGAGAGTAAGTCAGCGCTTTGTAGTGAGACAATTAGTTTTCATGAAGTAAGATACACCCTTCCCAATTCATACACATTACACACATTATAGAGATAGTTATTTTCTAGCTTTCATTATTTTTAACATGACTTGGATAAATCTAATGGCATAAGATTCTTTGGCTCCAACTGGAATTTAACAATGTGGAAAAACAATTAAAAACAAATGTCCTTTCCTGAAATAAAACTGTTATGTTCTCTGTTCTGATATAAACAACGACCTTTAAAAAGTATGATATTGTTGTGGGTTAACTGGGCATTTTGTTCCTCTTTTAAAAAGTTGACAGTCACGATTGGATTTGAAACGAGGTCGGAGAGAGATGGAAAAATTATATGTGGCAATAAAGGTCCTGGATGTCGGCTGCGGAATCCTTCTCGTACAAGGCAGAATGTTCACCGAATCTTCACGCGTTCCCGTCGGCCTCTGTGCAGACGCACTGTGCCGCTTTCTGGGGAGTCAGCGTGTATGTGCTGTAAATATTGTCCCTGGGTGAGAATTCCAGCCGCACATCAATTCGAGGCGAAGAGTGACCCTAAAACTGTGACATAATTAGAATCTCACATTGGGTGAGATTTTACGAGCAAGTTTCACACGGAAACAACCGTCAAGACAGAATTATGAAATCTGAGCGTCTAAATGCAGCATATTAGCAGCGTAGTGTCGTCACAATGGTAAATGGTAAATGGACTGTACTTGTATAGCGCTTTTCTAGTCTTCTGACCACTCAAAGCGCTTTAACACTACTTGACATCATTCACCCATTCACACCCATTCATACACTGATGACAGGAGAACCATACACAGTGACACCTGCCATCAGTAACTACCATTCACACACTGTAGTCGCAGCTACAGGAGCAATGTTGGGTTAAGTGTCTTGCCCAAGGACACAACGACATGTGGGTTAGCCGGGCCTGGGATCAAACCGACAACCCTCTGATTGGAGGACGACCGTGCTCCCCACTCACCCACAGTCGCACAATGACTCCCATTTGCCTGCAGATGGTCACAGGCACACTTCAGGTTAAGTCAAGGCCAATATTTACTCTGCACCAACACAGACGTCTGAACATGCTCATTCTTTTTAATAATGATATGCAGGTTCTGAGGTGGACGACATATTTTCACCTTTACTTACTGAATGAGAACCGAGCTGGTATCCGATGTCTGAATCTGTCATGTTCTTTGGAGGAGTATTAAGGTGTGTGTGTGTGTGTGTGTGTGTGTTGGAGATAAAGAGAGAGGATGGATAGCTGACAGACTGCAATGCAGTGCACATGCCACATAAACCTGTGCTACTGACACACACACACACACACACACACACACACACACACACACACACACACACACACACACACACACTAATAATAATAATATCTGTGAGGAGGTGACAGGTGTGTTGGCTTAAAGACTTTGTCACTGTGTCAGCTGTGGGTTTGTGTACGTAGCTGTGTTTGCCGATGTGTGTGTGTGTGTGTGTGTGTGTGTGTGTGTGTCAGTGTGGCGTGAGTTTGTAACATGAGAAGATGGAATTTAAGTCTAATCCTGACAAAAAAATGGGACAAAATATGAACGGCGTTCGGAGAAGCAGACTTTATGATCACGTTTTAAGTGACAAAGCTGCAGTCTGCAATATTAACACATCCCATTATTTATCATCCATTTTGCTATAAAACAAACGTTTCTGATCACATTGGAGTGGATAATGAGTTTTATTCACTCTTACTTTAACGTGAATCAGAAATACAGAACATATATTGCCAAAGTATGTTAGACATACAAGGAATTTGACATGGCGAGTGGTGCATACGTACATTGGACAATAAGACAACGATGGACAACAAGACGAATAACACAGTGCAGGAAAGTAACGATCACTTGCGATTATGTGAAATCTGAGTGAAATCTTGCATGCTAATTGTTTTATTGAAAAAAAGTCCCTTAAGTTATTATAGTTCATAATTATTATATAATTAACTTGTTCAGTACTGATGATCTGTCCCAGCTAGACAGCCTTTATGGATTTAGTTTGCATACATGTGAGTCTGCGTGTGCGTTTGCACGTCTGACAAGTCAAAAGCAGAAATTCACCATATGTTCATATTAAACCCCGACACATTAAAATAACTTTTATTCCTCCTCTGCAACTTTCTTTCTTTTCACCTTCTTTAATTCACCATGATTTAGTTCTCAGTCTTATCTTTGTCTTCTCTTTCCTCTCACTTCCCAGTGGATACATTCAACAGGATGAAAAATGAGACCATTTTGTTCTTCTCTGTAGTTCCTTTTTCTGTTCTTTCACACTTTGGATCAACCCACTTCCACAGTGCGTTGGAGGCACATAAACAGAAGCGCAACCAAAGCCAAGATTACTCCCACCTGCCACGATACACACACGTAAACACACACCCAGAGTTGCGTTTCCGTCACTTCAGACTTACGTTCATTTCCTGCGGACGTCATCTGTATGTGCAGTAGCGGTTAACGAAGCTTGTACTCTTTGTAAGAAGCAGAACATTTACAGCCGTGACTACAGGCTCCTTGTGTTGAACATGACGCTTACCCATAACCTTTGACATGGGCAACACACGCCTACACACAAACACACCTACACACGCTCCCTCTGTGCATTACAATAATTACAAATTCAGACATGAGACCCAACAACATCACGCAATCTCCTCGAGTCCAAAGGAGCAGATACTTTGAATAACTCATTACTTTATCGTTAAACTTTCTTTCTATATGCATATTATATTATAGCGTATGGACATAATTACTCTATTGCCCTGTTTTTTCCCAAGACCAGACAAACTATTTATCACTTGATCCCTGAAATTAGTTTGTTTCAACATAAACCTTTAAATTAATTTAATCTTAGTTGTACGATCACCATAAAACAAATACAATTCTTAACAAAACAAGGCTCCACTCATATCTGCATCCAAAAGAAATATTGAATTTTTGGAGAGACCTTCTGACTGTTTTATAAGGATGTTCGGCATAACGTAAACTTTTTTACTTGGATATTTTATTGTGACAACAGTTGTTTACCTCTTGTGGCTGTAAATGCCACTAATGAGAACAACAAGGGTGAACCAAAATAGCTGCAGACAGTGGAGCTGCTGTAGAACATGTTCAACGTTGGCTAATTGAATTGATTTCAGCAAACATCCCAGGTTGATTTAATGCAAAACAATTACAGATCAAAAACACATGCAAAAAAAATATCACCGGGTACATTTCATATTTTGAAAACACAAACGTCGACATTTTTTAGTACTATTGTACTGATTCAGGCTCTTGTCATCTCCCGCCTTGACTACTGTAACTCCCTCCTGGCAGGTCTTCCGCTACCGCCAGTCGACCTCTGCAGCTCATCCAGAATGCAGCAGCTCGACTGTCAGGAAGCTACGTGGAGGTAAAGGTAGGACTCACACTCAGAGTTTAGGCGAGGACAAAAATCAAAACTCCAAAAAGGCAAAAACATAGTCATGGAACAGGAGACAGGAGACAGGAGACAGGAGACAGGAGACAGGAGGCATGGGGCACGGGGCGTGGGGCGTGGGGCACGGGGCACGGGGCACGGGGCGTGGGGCATGGGGCGTGGGGCACGGGGCACGGGGCACGGGGCACGGGGCATGGGGCATGGGGCATGGGCTTCTGACATCCACCAACATGGAACAATGACGCGACAAGTGACAACAGACACACATGGCTTAAATACACTAGGGAGGTGCAGGTGATTGGACACAGCTGGGAACAATCATGACATGACAGACAATCACAGGGGAAGACAGGACAAGGCAGGAAGTGACGTGACCCAGGGAGACCAGAGGCAAGGAACTACAAAATAAAACCAGACATGAACCCAAACCGTGATATCGACTGGTCTTTGACCTTCCTAAATTCTCCCACACTACTCCGCTCCCTTCACTGGCTACCGGTGGCATCCGGTTCAAAACACTTACGTACCGTGCTGTGAATGGACGGGGTTCCGTCTACATCCAAATTTGCACTTTCTTATTTCTTGTTCTTTTGAGTTTGTATCCCTATGGTTGAAATGCCCTTATTGTAAGTGGCTTTGGATAAAAGCGTCAGCTAAATAACATGTGATGTAACGTCTTTTCTTCTTTTTTTTTACTAAAGGGGGGTGGGGGCTCCAGGTGGCCCCCTATTGACCGGCCGCCACTGGTTACGGACCAGATAACAAACACCTGTGTGTATGTGAAGGGATCTGCAGTGTTGATCATAATTCTCAGTAGATTTGCCGCTTTTGACCCTTTCATTTGCAGCGTAGTTGGTATGAATAGCTGCTTTATGAGCTACGCTTTCTAACACAGATCATTTTCCCATCCATCCATCCATCATCCTACATTCCTCCCACCAGTCTTTTCACTGAACAGATCACTCCAGACACGCTGCAGATGACTCCTAGACTCAGTATACACAGATCTATCAGCCGCTCCTCCACAGTGAGGCGGCCCCACTGCAGCCGGAGGTGAAAGAGGCACGGCAGTATGAGTGTCATGGCCGCCCCGGTCACGCTGCCTGTCAAACCCATCAACAGGGAGAACCTGGGGACTATCAGGGCCAGTAGGTATGATGTCATCAGCAAGGCGAGGCGGAGCAGGACGGCCAGACGAGACACGCCTCGGCCTCGGGGTTTGGAGTGGGATGAGACATCTGTAGGAAGATCGGAGCCGAGGAGTTGCTTTTAATGGCAATTGATACAGTTGACAACTTTTGTTTGTGCGTTGCTCTTTTTTGAATCAGGGTTTTCCCAAGTTTCTGCTGAACATAGGTGTCATCAGCCTCCTACTATACAAATCAGATTATTTATTGTATAATTTTCTAGCAACGTTATTTACAGTATGAATTGATAGTTGTTGCTGTTCTAAATAAAAGCTGCGGACCAAATAACTGAAATTCCTTGAAGGATCTCTACAATTGCCAAGTGAAAATATGAATTATAAAACTGCCTTACACCTCTTGGGGAATAAAGTATATGGGACGACTTCATCATTATTTTGGTGCCCTGCTCAAGATCAGCCTTTCAATAACCCGTTTTTACATTGTTTTCACTGTTGGACTCGTGAGCCACAGTAACGTATGTGTTAGTTTGTATTACTGTCAGAGCCGTGGCTAGTAGTCCGCTGTGACCCGTCTGATTTCGGGGTCCTCTGTTATCTGTTCCTGTGCACAGACGGCCAAACTAGTTTCACCCTCTAGCGATTAATGAAGTTATCTAATCAAAAAAAACCTTTGCTCGGTCCCATAATTTAAACAGTTCTAGGAGCTGGAGGGTGGAAATCTGCGCTAAACAAACCTTGAATAAAAGCCAAGGAGGCTGTTTCAGCGTGTCCTTCCCTCACACTATTACCCCCCCTAGAGAGATTCCCACCTGGAGGCGGCCACATCTAACCACCCTTTAACACTGATGACCTCTGGAGCAATTAAATGCTCCGCTCAAGGTAAACCGGCCAGCCTGGGGAGCGCCGACATGTCACTAAATAACATTCTCCAACACTATCTATTCCATTGACCATCCAGGGAAACTGCCAGCCTCAGGCCTGCTTACACAAGCTCCCGATGCTTTACAGAGCTTTTAAAACGTGCAGAGGAAGAGAGTTTTCTTGGGCCCTGTGTTATCTTCACGTCAGCCACTGCAACATGCAAAATGTAGATCTACAGTGAGCCTTAAGCCGTGATCTTTTTCATGACAACACACGATTATAGATGGTACTTTCCTACATATAAAATATCCAGAAATACTTTGAGGCAAGGTCAGCGGTTGGAATAGGAAGTTAGAGACGTTCACCTGCGAGCAGACAGCTTTGTAGTATTTCTGCAGCAGAGTAGAAGGGCAGAGGGTAGGACAGCAGGGCTTTAGCCAGCAGGATCAGGTTGATGAGAGGCCGAAGGTCAGAGGGCAGGTTGTCCGTGATGACCTCACTGGTCTCGGCCCCCCAGGTCAGCACCGCCTAATGGGGGGGAGGGGGGGTACCATCAATGCAATCGGTCAATCACTTCATTTGTCCGTCCATTTTATCGGCCGACGTCAAGACAAGCGCATGTTTTGTTTCTGTCTCAAATGCTTTTAGATATTTGCCGAGTGAAAAATGAAATGTATTTTGTACATGTCGTTATATCTATTTTAACCTCTCAGAACTCTATAATTCAGACCCATCAGAGGCTTCATGAACATGCTGTGTAACCCAATGTCACTAACCAGCAAGGAAAACAGCGTTTTCATGATGCAGGCGGCTCCATGCGTCCACCCCAGCATGCAGTTAAACTGCCCTCTGTCCTTCATACTGCCCTCTAGAGGAGGGAGGAAGATCTGTGAGGTGTAGGAGAAGATGATGACGCCCACGGAGACGATGAAGTCCTCCGGGTCCACAGACAGAGGCAGAGTGGACCAAGACCAGCTGCTGGCTCGACTCAGACAGTGCAGCATGACCAGAAGGCTGTAAAGGGTTGGAAACAAAATGTGAAAAATGTGAAATAAAGCACCTAAAAATATATTTTTTCAATCCAAAAAGATTTGTATTTGACAGTCAAATAGGAGCAGTGTACTCCCAGGTACACAGTAAAATAAAATAATTCCTGCCCAACGACAGACAAGGAAAGCGATGGAAGGAATTGTAGAAAATAAAATCCAAGAAGCAAATGCAAAAATGCATGAACGATGTGGAAATTTGAATTGCATTTAGAAAATAATTTATCATCCCTGCCCAGAGGAAATGTATGTCTAAAATTCGGATTTTCTTTACGGTTTAACAAGATTATCCTCCCCCTCAAGATAAACAGACCATTTAAAATCAAATTAGGTTAGCAGAAAACAAGAGCGTATTTCTTAGCCCATTGAAGGCTGACGTTTTAGAGATGACTGGTTTTCATCGAATAATATTAGGTTTTACATACAAAATAGGATACATAGTCCTTTTCTGCAATCACAGAATGTGAATAATTGTTTAGATTATTATTTATTTGGATCCTCTCTTAACCATAAAAAAAAGAAAGAAACAGGACAAATAAAAAGACCCTGCAAATGGATGAAGTGAGTTCATGAAACAGATGGAGAAGCAGCAAGTGATTCAGCAAAATTTGAATGGTCAAGATAAAATAAATGAGAAAAAAAGTTACGTGCATATGAATTGTAAACCAAAGCATAGACCCAATAAACCCAACTCCACCAAGACACCTGACAGCGCACGACAAATAAATCAAACCACCAGTAACAGCAGTGGGGAGCAGGTGGGAGCAGGTGGGAGCAGACGGCAGAGCCAGCAGCAGCAGCAGCAGCTGCAGCTGCAGCATCACCAGCGGAGTGTGAATGCGAGCGGATTACGACGCCTTGTTGTCTTGATTCAATGCGATCGGTCAGTTTGGCAGCTGATGCCGACCGTTTGACAGCGTGCACGAGTCTACTGCTCAGTCAGAACCGACCCGCTGCGTCTTCTCGGCAGTCACCTGATCAGTATGTGTGCCAGGGAGCACAGCAGGCTGAGGGTGGAGACTGGCCTGAGATCAGTTAGCAGCAGGCAAGGCAGCAGGAACACCAGAGACACCAGAGAACACACTGATCTAGGGACAGCCATCCCCGAGAGACTGTCGGACAGCAGGCTGGTGGAGACGACCAGATACAGGGTGCAGGTCATCAGCAGTTCAATGACCTGATGTAAAAGAAAAATGATTACTTTGTGTGTCTTCTGCAATGATGAATGAGAAGAACAATTGTAGTATGTGGGTGTTACCTGAGCTACATTAACAAGCCACCCCCCCAGTGCAGGCAAGTTGGGCCAGAGGCCTTTGCAGCCGGCTTCCACTATGTCCTGGTAGCTGTGTCGGACTCTGACCATTGACACCGAGCCGCTGCTGAAAGATGCAAACCCTTTGTTACTACGATTCAAAGTTTTCGGTCATGTGCTTTAACACCTTTTTTTCCCTGTTGCAGCATGATGTTGGTGGACGACTGTGAACTATAGCTAATGTTCCAGTGACTGAAGTCAGCAACGTATAGTGAAGATACAAACATTCATACCATTGAGGCAAAAGTAAACTCAAAGCACAAATGGACTGCAGGTCACATATTGTGTATTTGGACTTTGCAAAACCCTCTTTTCACTCCACAGTTGGGACTAGAGTCCCCCGAGGACTCTGAACAGAATAGAACGAATAAATATGAGAAGGAATCCGTTGTCAGAATTGAAAGTCGCTATTGCTGAACATGCAGAAACTCTATTAGCCAACATTGAGTGAATAAAAACACCGCTCTGAACACAGTGAGATGTGCACTTAGTGAAGTGTGGCCCAGAAGTGCCACAACGTGTACACAGGGTTAAATAAATTACTTAGATTCTGAAAAAGAAATGATTGCATTTTATATTGCATATCATAAAATTGATGTAGCCTCATTATAGAGCAAATTAACACTAAATAAGTAATATTATTAATATAACGGACACACCTTTGTTCCTCTTCATACAGACAGGCCACCAAGATCCTCCCTGTGTGGTTGCAGAACCACGCTGACAGAACCAGCAGAACAAGCCCCACATAACCTGAGCGGAGCAGAGCGAAGGGTAAACCCAACACAAAGATCCCCTGTAGGGCGCAAGAGAGAGAGAGAGGTGGACACAAAGCACATCGATAGGTGGGTTGTGACAGAGATTAGAAATGAGAAGAGACCAAGACCCCCTTTGAAAAGGTGCCTCAAACTTTGAAATGACCGTGTACCCATAATCGTTTCTCACTCAGCCCTGGTTGAGAATCTTAGTAGCATGTCATCGGGCCTTTTATTTGCTTTGTTTGCTGTCTTCATAGTGTCATACTATCACTGTAAAAGGAAAAAATGCTGATGACAAAAATAAACCCTCCAATCCTTTGAACTTATTTCAAATTTTCCATTAAGTTCCACAGGGGAAGTAAGAAATAGAACAACATAAACAATACAGAAACTCATTAATATGCATTCGATGCTTACTGTGGGGATACTAACCCACATTTCTTTCATTGTCTCAAAACATTTAAAATGTACATACGGCCTGTGTATGGCAAACAAAAGATAAAATACAACATGATTATCATTGAAAGTAGGAAGAAATTGTCGGGGGAGAATTTGTTGAGGTGAATAACACTAAAGTTAACAGGTTAAATGTGAAAGAATAGGAATGCTTTCATATCAAGGTACAATGTAGTACATAGAATAACTCTAAATCAAACCATCTGAACATGCCTCAGGATTTAAAAAACGCTTCCTTAAGAAACGATCACTGAAAATCATTCAAATGGGAGAATTCTAAAACGTTGTGCCAAAGAAAAGAAGAAAGCAGAGATTAAGGAAGACCGTCGAAGAGGAAGGAGAAGAAAGGATGGCTGTGAGAGGAGCAGGCGGGCGGAGAGGTTTGGCATGACGCCTGGAGAGTTCGAGGATGCAGGAGACCAGCGGGAGCCGGAGGAGGAGGAGGAGGAGGAGAGTCGAGCTTCGGCCCGCTGCAGAGGGGAAAGCGTCAGGGACCGCCGGAGGGGAGGAGCGATGGAGGCGGGAGGCAAGGAAAAGAAGATGGTCGAGGTGGCACCTCGCGGCTAGAGGGCAGGAGGTTTTGAGGAGGGAAGAGAGGGGGCGAGATCACAGGAGGCGATGGGCTTCTTTGATGGAGCTCACTGGGAGAGCTGCGGATGCTCAGACGCAAATAGTACCGCACACTGTGGACGCGTAAACCTGCCCTCTCACTTTCAAGTTCCTGTTTTGTGTCTGCTGAAGAGGCCTTTGATGTTCAAATGGAGCGGCCGCTGATGAAAGCGGTTTGACGTTCAAGTATCTGGTTTAATCTCCCCTCGCTCTCCCGTTCTCTCTCATTGGTTCTTCAAGATGGCTCAACACAACTCCAAAGTGTGGCAAACCCGTACAGTGACGGTAAAGGAAAGATAATCCCCGATTCGCTCTGAGGGAAACGCAGATTCAAGTTCATCCTGAAAAAAAACCTTGGCAAGGACATATTTGGCAGCATGAGCCAAATAACTTTTGACTGTAATCTTCCAAAAAATAGAAATCGGGATATTCTACAATTCCCTGCGGATCGTATTTGCATAAAAAAAACGTATTTAGAGCTTGAATTTCCAAACCAGTTTAAGGTACGATGTCGTTTTAAAGAAGTGGAATTGACATACGTTGTGGCATCAACATCAGAAACACAAGGTGCACACATCTAATCTGCAATCAGGCCACTCAAAGAGGATCCGCCTCATTAACTGTCGAAATAAAAACTGCTCCATGATATTCCCAAGTCTTGAAAGCTGGAGCTGGTTTTTGCATTTTTGGCAGCAAATTCACTCGCTAATAAAACTTTATCAAGCTGGCAGACATCGCATAGTTATGTTGGCATCATTAATCAGCCACCGGAAAACTCCCATTTTTTATTCCATTACAAATACATCTGTTTGCCTCTTAACAAGTGGAGCAGTTCTCATCGCTCTGATGTTTTATACGTCAGATACAATCGGCGTCGGTTATCGTTGTGCTCCATAACCGTCTGAGATCTTCGAGGCACCTTTCACCTACGTTAGTCGTCCAGCAGTCCTCTCGATTTAACCTCGCGTGTGACCTCAACCGAACGGACTACTGCAGCGATCCGTTTGGCTGAGGTCCCTGATTGAGGTAATAACCTATAAAACACGACGCTGGAAACAACCCGATACTGTTTTAGGAGATTTTAGAACAGACGAGCAGCAATAAACCAGCCAAATTAAACACTTGTCTATAAACTGAATATCATGTTTCATTTGTTAGCGTGTGTGTGTGTGTGTGTGTGTGCGTGTAACCCTATGCCTACATCCACTGTATTGGTTCCCCGATGTCATCGTTGGTCAATTACACTGCAGTTATTCGGTGAAAGGAACGCTCACGTGAGCGCCGCTCCGCGTCTACAGCGTCATAAGCCATAACGGTTTTGACAAAGAGGATGAATGACATACTGGGACTGAACCAACTTAACAACGATTCCCATGTTTGCAGCTGCAGTAAACGAGGGGTTTGCTATCAGAAAATCTAAGCCAGCTGCCAGCTCCAACTTTGAAAGAAGAAACGGTTGCAACAAGCATTGCTGGGCAATTATTTGATCACCTTGACCAACGCGTATAGTTGGTTGTCCCGGATGAGGCTTTTTGACGTTCTTTCTTACATTGCATGTATTTGGTAGAAGTTCTACACGTTTTTTTCCCACATACACATAAACACAGTAGGGAAACATATTCAAGTTAAATAGCTAAAATAATGAAGAAGAGAAGTGCTGTCTTAGACATGGAGGAGGTTTCTGACCGTGCTTATTGATGAATAGGTGTACCTGGATAGCATTTGTGACATTCCAGCCCGCCTCCCAGGTGGTGATGGTGAGAGTGGGATCCCCACCTCGGACCCCCGCGTTGGGGCTCTGCGCTGGACAAACTTCATCCGGGCTGCTACAGAAGTGAGAAGTCCCCTCCACACCTTCCTCTCCCCCTTCGGTCCCCTCTCCGTCCTCAGGAAGTCCGTGTTTCTCGGAGGATCCTCTTCCTCTGGCAGACTGACTGGAAACCGCTGAGGTCACGGTGACGGTGGCTCTGGTTTCTTTGAAAACTGGGGTCCCCTGCAGAAAGGTGCAGGTGGATTCTGGGACACTGGGATTATCTTGCTCAGTTCTTCCAGGCGAGGTTCTTTCTCTTCGGGGGTCATCTGTGTTCTCACCATAGCTTCTGTTCAGCTCGTCGCTGTGGGTCAGAATCTGCATCTCCTCATCCCCCGGAAACAACCTGCCGATCAAAACCACAATATTGAATTTTATTCTTGGATTATTAGATTGTATATCCATATTTAGTGCAATAATTACAGGAACGAATGCGACTCACCGTGATGCCCAGTCCAGATGTTGCGGTAGCCTTGACGCTGCCCAGCCCCAAAGGGAGCCGGCAGACCTCCAGGGCCGACCAGAGCCGCGAGCCCAGGGAAGAGAGCCCATCCTCAGCCTCGCCGTGTGCCGAGTCAGCCTCCCCGCCTCTGGAGGTCTGAGACAGCTTGACTTAAACTGGACAAAAAAAACATACTCTCTTTGCCCTCAGACACACACACACACACACACACGGACACACACAAAATGTCTGCCGGTAAAGAAACTGTACAAACAACAGTGCCACTCACACAATAGCACCAGCGCTCAGATGCACAGGGATTGACGGAAGTGATTGACAGGTTGGTGAGCTGTAACAATATAATATGCGTAGGTTTCTGACAGCGAAGGAGTAAACAACTAAGTGGCCTCCACAGTAAATACGTACAATCAGGGATAAAGTGGAGGCCAAAACTTAACTTTAGTTTTTTTTGCAAAGTAAAAATGTTTTCACCTTCACTTGCCAGCATAAATATAAACTCACATGATGTGATATCAATGCTGTAATTAAAATGTTAACCTGCAGGGTCAATGGTTGTGTTTTTTTATGTGCTATCAGTGAAGGCCAGGGTACATTTCTGATCTGCAGATATCTAGTAAACCGCCAGGAGCTCTCGCCTGGTTCACTTTCTACCGAGAACAAAGTCAGCGTTAAACCGCACTGCAAAGTTTATTCTATTTCTAGTTTCTTTAGCGTTGACTTTTTCATCTTCAATTTAGTGTTTTTGTTTGAATCAGTGTTCTTAACTGTTCAACACTTTGACAATTAACGATTAAATGTGCTATACGAATAAAAGCCTTGCCTTGCCAATCGGTTTCATTAATCAGAAACCTTTCGCCATCGATAAAAAAACTCACTTTTCACTTTGGAAACTTTTTTGGAAAGTTCAAACATGCGTTTATTAACAAACCCTCTGACAAATGGATAAAGCGCGGACGTTTATGCTTTGGCTTTTGCCCCAGACTGTGGTGAGTTCTGCGGGGCAGCAGGAGGAGCCACAGAACGCAGCTGCACCCAAACTTCAGTCCCACTCTTCACTTCTGAAGTGTTCTGTGCTCCATTCACTTCTTTCCACTGTCCTTTTTCTTTCTTTTTGATTGATTGAGCTTTTTTTCCACAAAAATTCTGCAGAACACTGACGTACAGCAGCTTTCTACTCCTTCATGGATTTCATGCCTGACTTCTGCTGTAACAGCTTCACATGGTCATTACTTTGTTAACTTTTGTTAACAATATGTTGTGATTACGCAAATATCCTCCCAAAAGCCCCAGGATGTAAACAAACACAAATTTTTAAAGGAAACTTTACTTGAGCGTTTAAATGTTATGCTTCCATTATGCTCCCATTGAAACATAAAGTATATATACTTCTTATGTTGTATGATATTGATTTTACATGTATTTGACTGATATAGCGAACACTAACACACAACAACACAAGATTACGTAATATAAGATTTACTTTGTTGCTAGATTTGGAAAAAGAGTTTGTATCCATCTATTAAGAGAACGAGAGGAAGAGGAGGAGTAGGGAGAGAAGGGGGGAGGAGGGAGGTGATAGAGGGAGGGAGGGAGAGAAAGAGAGAGAAAGGGGGGGGGGTGAGCGAGAGTTTGCGTCAACTTCTGTGAAACTTTCCTCTGACAATAAACGCCGCACGGAGCTGCGCGAAATCCCAAATACTCGCGATTGGACTGGAGATGGAGCGACTCGGGCTCGCGCTCCTGACCGCGTTGCTATGGCGATGCTGCCATGCCCAGCAGAGAGGTGAGTCCCACGAGACATCTGATCGATAAGGCTTGAACTTATCAATACACCCGATACTTGGCCGACGAGCTACAGCGCAGGGGAGTGTGTCGGAAAGACTCTCCTCTTTAATCACACCGATTAAAACCCTCTTTTGCTGATGGGATCCCAGGGAAAACCCTTCAGTGACACGCCGCGTGGACCCCGTTCATTGATAAAAAATAAACACGCGAGCACGCGTCCGAGACCTGAGAACATGGAGGAACAGAGTCAATCATCTGCCATTCGCACTCTCAGGAACCTTTGACACCATTTGGGTGGGCCTTTTGCAGAGTGTATCACAGCGGGGGTCTTGTTTTCTTCTTCTCACATGGTTCCAGTGAATCAGTCACTCATAATGTACTTTTACTGCAATACAACGGGGCTTTACTGCCATGGAAAGTGGTAAGAGCAACCTTACTGATATTTACGCTGCAAAAGAACACATATATATGTTTATCTTTGCTTGTCTTGTTGGTTTGAGGGGTTTGGTGCAGTTTGCCCGGAGGTCTCTTTCCCAATGATGGGCAGTTCAGATGGTCCCTTGAGGTCTTGTCTTTAGAAGGATGCAGTGTTGTACTGAATAACAGGCCGGCCTCTGCGTATTCCTCCGAGCAACCTCACAAATCTCAACTTGACTTCAAGGTCGTTCACCCAGGTATTACGAATCACGCATTACCTGTTTGAATGTCTAGAGGGATCCAGCCAAGTTATCCATTTCTGAGCTTATTTACAGTGTCTGTCCCTGTTGTCAATTGTGGGACTATTTTCTACTCTCTAAACAAGGTGTTCACATTGTGTTCTGTGGATTATTCGGTTCAACATGAACGCTGTCTCTGGACACATCGCATTGATATTGAATTTAGAAAACACTATTTTTCACGTTTTGAGCATCACTGACTAAACTCGGTTTGTATCGACCCTGTGGCTGTGCAGGCAGATAGATATCTCAGATAAATCCGCCGAATCCCAGACGAACAAAACCCACGTCAGCGTGCGTGCCGGGACAGCCCTGGGCGGTGGAGTGAGAAAGTAGTCAGCGTTTGTCGTGCCCTTCGTCAAAACCCCTTTTGAAGGATCAAGAGCACCTGAGATGCTCTTTCACTCGGCGTACCTGTGAGGTTGTGAGAGATTCATTTAAAGCCTCTTGTGTGTTTGGCTCGTGACTTTGTCAACAATGGAAAAAGGAGGAACAATTCCCTGAGACTTTATTAAAATAACTGTAAAACAAATGAAGATGATTGGTAAGCTGTTGGAACATATACGTGTGTGTGTGTGTGTGTGTGTGTGTGTGTGTGCAGGGTTTGTTTGCAGGTCTTTTGCTGGAAAGATGAGACAAATTTAGTGCTCGTTATGTTTTTTTTTCTTCTACTTACCCTCTTGGAAACGTCCTCAGCTACTGTTTAACCCAGGAGTGCTTTAGACCTCCTGCAGAGAGAGGGGTGGGGGGGGGGGAGGGCTGCCATCAGGGCGTGTGTTTCTGGTAGTGTACTCGGTTGTGTGTGTGTGTGTGTGTGTGTGTGTGTGTGTGTGTGCGAGTGAGAGAATGTGAGTGGAAGAGGGCGGAAAAGGCCATCTGCATTAGGAGCCTCATTACCAGGCGTGTCAGCCAAGCGTGCTCTCTATCAGCGACGGAGCTCCGAGAGACGCCAGGAGATAATCACAAAGAGAAGAGGAGGAGGAGGAGGAGGAGAGGGGGGGGGCTGGAAAGGAGAGGCGAGAGGAAGGGAGGGTGTGTTGAAAAGTTATTAGGCGTTGCAGGAGACGTTGACGTTGGAGAAAGGATGGGAAGCAGGAAGGTCCTCGGGGGAGAGAGGATGAGACGGAGCCGTGGCACACAAACAACGGGGAGAAACAGTTGCCCTGGAATCAAAACGCCGGTTGGAGGAGATGGATGGAACACATCTGGTTGAAGCACTGTAACAAAAATGAAAGCAACTCGGGGGAAGAGATTGTCTCTGCTGCGGAAGTGATGCATGCACGAGGCGCTGAAGTGGTCCGTCGAGTGCTGGAAAATAATTTTTGGCTACAGTGTCATCACTTGAATTGATTTTTCAACCATCCTTGAGTGCCGGCGTTTTACTTGGGATTTTGGTTAGTTTACAAGAGAGATTTGCTGTATTTCTGTTTTGCATTTGCTCTTCTCCCCGGTTTGGATTGGAAAAGGGATTGATGCATTTGCTTGGAGTACGTGGAGGAGGTGGGGGTGGTCATGATGAAGATGTCATGTTTGAAAGCCCCAAATGATGACAGCAAGGAAATAATGAGTGGGGAGAGAATGGCGGATGTGTGAGAAATAAGCCCACGGGCCTCAGGCCTTATAGAGTGTAGCCTTCTCTTCTGAACTTATGTTATAACTTCATTTGAGAGTGTTGGTTGAATTAGCATTAAACAGGCATCAACAGCAATACCGCGTTGGGAAATCGGTGCTACACTGACTCAGGCGGCAGGCTAACTAGGATAAGTTGTGCCCACCTCCAAGAATGATCGAAGCCCCGTCGCTCAGTATTGGCTGTAAAAATAAAAAGCTACCGATCCGCTGGTTGCAGTTGTGTGTTTGAATGAGTGTTAACAGCCTGATTGGAATGAACGGAATAAATCCAGACGAGGTAAACAGACTGAGAAAAGGGACTTATTCATAATATCGCTGCCCTGCAGACAACCCGCGCTGCATCTTCAAAAAAAAAGATTGATTGATTTCCCTGTTGATGCTTATCAGGCTTCAACATATACTCAAAGGTGCAGCCTGATCCGGTGAAATATTTTCTCCTACCTATGCTGAAAATGTAAAAAAACAAACAATTTTCTTAATTTTGAGATGAAAGGTCTCCTCAGAGCAACTACAGGTGTGTTTATGCGTTTATGGTAATGTGGATTCAACCAAGCCAGACTGAATGTGAGGCGAAGGCACCAGAGGCATCGCAGTGAATGTGATGTGAACCCAGAGCAGCTTCTCCTGCCCGTCAGAGGCATCAGGCTTTCTGTGGGGCGAATTCCTCCCGATGTCATAACGTTTCTAAAATATGTTGATCTCGGTCTGCTATGTTAATGCCAGAGCAGCCGAGCTTAGCAGGGTGGATTTCGGAGGAATACATCGGAGGGAAAGCTCTTAGACCGTTTTTCAGGGAATTGAATTCATGTATTCTTAAAAAATAAAAAATATGGAAGATTGCGAGTTTAGTGCAGTTGGGTCAGTGACTGTGAGGCAAAATGAAACGGATGTCTGTTAAAACAGGCAGACGAAGGCCGATCGCGGTGCTCTAATTTAGTAATTCAGTGGTTGGAATAAACACAGACAGACACCACACACCTAGCTCATGATGTGGACTAGAAGTAGAAAAGTGCCTTAAATACATTACCCACTAAAGTAGTAGACGTGCGTTAATCTTAACTTCATGCCCACGCGGCATAATGTCTGCCCTTTTCTTTCTGTCAATCAATGAATCAATCTCCTGACTGATTGGTCTGTCGCTCAGCTGCTCAGTGAAGGGATGCGCAGCAGCTGACAGGTCGATAGCTTCCAAAGCGTCCGGTAAACAGCTGGACATTGATTCCACCGGACTGGCCGATGTTTGCTCATTCCAGATGTTCATGGGGTGTGGGAGAAATTGCGGCACTGAAATGCGATATTCCCCTGCGGCGTATTCCACCGTGTGCAAACCGCCGAATGCATCGGGGTCCCAATGAGAATGTGTCCGCAACATCCCATAATCAATGAGGCTGTACCTTTAGAAGTCTGATAAACTAAAGAGCTTCTTGCTCTTGTGCGACATCTGCAATTGATCGAACTTTGCATTTTATTGCAGTGCTGAATGTCCCTCGTGTTTCTCCAACTCGACTCAACATGGCGCCCGGTGCTCGTGCATGTCTGCCCGCACGCGAGAGTCGTCCGATTTTGGCAGATTTGATATATGTGATTACGCTCATTACAGCATGCGCATGTTGGAGTGTGTGTGAGGCGTCCTGTCACATCTTGTTTGTGAAGTCGGCGGCGGCGGCTACGATGCTGCCAAGAATTAATCGATGACATTGTGCCAAAGACACAGATCGCATGTACACCAACAGGTGTGTACGTGTGTGTGTGTGTGTGTGTGTGTGTGTGTGTGTCGGTATTTGAGAGGAGCCCGCTGGGAGCTAAAATTAGCCAGGTGCTAAGTTTGAGCGCTGCTGTGTCCTTCCTGTCAATAAGAGAGACACAAAGCTGTGGCCCGAAAAACAGAGAGTGACACCGACTTTGACATTTTAAATCTTACTGCGTGTTTTCCTGACCCGATGTGAGGCAGAATACAGGTCAGGATGCAGGCTTGCCGCTAAGTGACAGATAAGAAAAATAGAAAATACATTGAGTTTTTTTAATTTGAAAAAATATATGAGGTGCTGCTAAAGGGAGAATGTAAAATGAACAAATCATAGCCGACGTTGGTACAATCACTGGGAACAAAACGACCATTCATTATGCGAATGATTGGCAGCTACTAAACTATTTTGCCGTGTTTTTTCAATTTCAGAAAAAACGGGTGCAGACACGCGTGTTGGCTTATGTTAAGTTAAACGACGCCTTTCTCTTTTACTGCAAAAAGAAAAAAGGGGGTTTATTGTCTCATTTTGAAGGCCCGAGATGTGACAGGCGCGAGATAATTGACTCGCGGTGGTGAAGGTAATGAAAACATGTGAGAATAATTGGGTACATGGGTGTTCCCGGAGGTTTAATGCATTAAACATGTGACCCAGTCTAATGTGTCATGGGGCGGCGTTTATCCAAATGCATGTTTGTTTTGAATGTTTGATTGTTATTTGTTGGTGTGCGCGTATTCCAGTAGCGCGTTCATATTTGACTTGGGATGTTCCCTGTGGGGCTTTGCTAGCTCCTTCAAAGCACATCTCACACTGAACTACGTGTGTGTGTGTGTTTTCTTTGCTGTTTTGTTGTCAGAACAGCATTGATAATGCTGAGGAGAAAAATCAATAGTTAATTCTACCAG